GTATATTTTATATTTATGATAAATAATTTATATTATAATAAAAAAATTATTTATTGATAATTTATTTTAAAATATTAATATTTAATTTATAAATAATTATGATACATAAAAATTAAATTAAATAAGAAGTTAAAAAAAAATTTACAAACTTTTTTTTTGAAAAAAATCTTTAAAATTACTTTCGTAGAAGATAGATATTTATGTTTAATATAAAAGAGTGATTTTATAATTTTTTTTAATACTATCATATCCCTATTTTAATACTATATTAAAAAAAATTATTTCCCTATTCTTATTAGTTACAAGTACTTTACTGTTAAGCAATTTTCATATTTTTTAAATTACTTATATGCTTTCTTAATTATATATTTATTCTTTATTTATTTAATTGAATACTAAAGTTTCATGTGACAACCCAAAATAATGTGAATGACGCTCAATTTTCAATGTTCGCTAAAAAAAAGTTACTTAATTATATATTTAGAGTCTAAATGAGCCATTTTATTAAGAACACATATGACTAGTAAAAAGGTTAATGGAGATCTTAAAAAAAACCTCCTTCAACTCAACTAAAATCACATTTCCTATATAATAAAAAATACTCTTATATTCAAATTTAATTCTCATAGTTCACATATATATATATATAAATAAAAGGGAAAATCAAATGACTCATGGAATAATTATATAAAATTATTGTACATCTTAACTTTATATTTTATTTTAATTTAAAAATGCAAGATCAATTTTAAATATTATTCAAATGTAAAAAAGTATATCAACTTCCCTTTTATTTACGATAATTTTTCTTAATTTATATAAATTATTCTCAACAATTAATTTATCCTTTTTCGTTTATGTGTTTCTTTCTTCTTCTTTTTTTATGTTTCATTTTCTTCGTATATAAAAAAGAAAAAAATAAGACATTTTAATCAAATTTTTTTCATAAATATAAATGTGTGATCTTACTTCTCAATTTATTGAGAGATACTTCAAGTCCACTTTTAAATATGCAGTTCAGTCATTTTGACTCAATTACTTAATTATTGTAGGGAAAATTGTTTATAATTTTTTTTCTTAACCTCTACTTGAGAAAATCATGAATAACCAAGTACAAATAAGCATTATAGTTGTAGAATTTGAAGAATAGATACAATATATATTTCATCATGAAAATAATTATAAAACAATTGAGTTGAAAAATCACCTTGAAATGAAGAAAATAAAAAAGAGAAATTAATCAAGACCTAACCATCAATCGCATCCATCGTCATTTTGCCCTTTGTACATTGCACCTAGAGTCAGTCCTGAGCATAATTTCAGAGTGCAAACCACCTAAGACTCCTAAGTGTGAGGGATTTAGGGTTTATAAGGGCCCAATTTTTTTTTCTTTTTTATTTCTTATATTTTAGAATGCAACCTTATAGGTCAATTGCATATTTTGTTTTATATTTTTAAACTTTTAATTATTTATATTTAAAAAATTTAAAGTAAATTGCCCCACGAATTTACGTTTTAGACTTTATGCTTGAAAACCTTAACTGTCATTGAATTTTTCTATCAAACAGCTCATCCAAAAAAAAAAATTATAAAAGCATAACTGTTTTGAAATTAAAGAGCCGAATTTAACAATTAATGTACGATATCCACTTTTCAAGTATAATGCAACAGTGGTGTAAAAAAAAGTATATAGCAACGTGATGTAGAAAAAAAAGTATAATCCAACAGAAAAAAAAAAAAGATTATAATAAAATCTACACTAAATATATTTTAAGAAATTAATTTAAAAATAAAAACTGCATTGCACATTACACCAACCTTCTCTAAATTTCATTTAAAAGTTACATTAAAACTAAACTTGGTAACAAACAACAAACTACATATCATTATGTGGAATTATCTAATTTCTAAAATTTCCTCCAACAAATGTCTACTGTTTTTAAGTTTAGTATAACAACGATATTTTATATATATATAAATATTGTCAATGACAAGAAGAGGAAAAATAAAAAAGAGTGATACTAATGGGTTATCTAAATTTAATTATTTTTTAGCGGTTATGGACATGACAATAATCTCTTTAAGGAATAGATTTGAGTAATTAAAGACATTTGAAAGCATTTTTGAATTTTTGTTTGATTCAAATAAGTTAAAGTCATTAAATGATAATGAATTGAGAAAGTGTTGTGCAAGGTTTCACTCTACTTGTTCTCATGGTGATTTATCAAATATTGATTTAGATTATTTATTTTTTGAATTGAAAGTTTTATGAAGACTTCGCTTATATCTTTAATGCCAACCATTAAAATTCTTGAGTTTGTTAAAGTTGCATATTGTTATCGAAATGTTTTAATTACTTATAGAATTTAATTAAATGTGTTCTTAACGGTAACATTGGCTGAAAGAAATTTTTCAAATTTAAAATTAATGAAAACTTACTTAAGGTCATAAATGTTATAAGAAAGGTTGAATGATTTGGCAATTTTATCAATTAAGAAAGATATGTCGGAATACATTCAAATTAATGTAATTATTACTCTCTCCATTTTTTATTCATAGTTGTTTAAGGTTTTGCACGACACTTAAAGAAATGATTGATATTTTAGTTTTCAAAAATATTTATTACTTACTTTTTTATTCTACCCTCTATATTTTTATAATATTTCGTTGGAAACATATTGCCCTTTTAAATGTAACATTAACTTTACATAGGTAGTTGGAGAAAAAATAGGTAAACGTTAGAAATAAATAGACACATTGTTCAGTAAACATGCATTAATTATCAAGGTTAAAAATGAGAGAAAAAAAATCAATAAGTCATTGATTTTAGTAAAATGACAATGAAAAAAAATGACAAATTCTGACAAAACGATTATGAATAAAAAACGGAGGGAGTAATGATTTTTCTTCTCGAAATGCTCAAAGATTTTACTCTCTCCATTTTTTTCATTAACGTTTAGGGTTATGCATAAAAATTAAGAAAATGATTAATATTTTAGTTTTTCAGAGTATTTATTACTTATTTTCCTTTATACCTTTTAGTGGTTGGAGAAGAAATGGGTACATTGAAAATGAATAAACACATTGTCCAGTAAACACACATTAATTATCAAGGATAAAAATAAAAAATAAATTAATAAGTCTATTTTAGAAAAGTGACAATGAAAAAATAACAAAAAAAAATAATGTCAAAACGACTATAAAAAAATGGAAAGAATACTTTTTATGATATAATTCATGTATTTTGTTTTGTAGACTAGGAACAAGATAGATGACAACACTAACAAGTACGTCAAAAATAGCATGTGAGTTGATCGAAGAAAAAAAAACAATATATTTATATAGATTTGTTAAAACTATATTATGAACTTAATATAATAAGACATACAAATATTTTAATAAAATTACATGTCTATTTTTTTATATATAAATTATATGTTTATATTCTAACATTTATATGTGAAAGACTCTAATTTATTGTTTCACCTAGAGTCCATAAAATGTTATAATAGACTTGATTACACCATGTATTTTTGTTGTTGCGCACTATAATATTTTAGAGGAATAGAGAAGATAAATGTAATAGATTATGAAAATATTTTCTATAACATAACAAGTCCATGAGAGAGATTAGTTACAAGGAAGATAACTTTTTAACATAAATGAAAGATGATTGGTTTCTATAATTACAAAGAGGAGAGTTTCTACTTTCAACAAACAAGAGAGAAATTAATCATAAATACTAATACATTTTTTAAATTATTTTTGAAAGAATAAATTTAAATTACCAGTACCTTTATGATAAAATAATTAAAATGAAAGAGATGACTGATTTTTTTTGTTTAATATTTTTTTTATGTAAGATGCTAACATATTCTAACTAAAAATATATTAGATGAGAATATGTTAACAAATTCTACACATATATATATAATAAATACTTATTCAATAACATCTTTAACTAAGTTGTTTACTCAATCAACCAAAATGATATTCAAAATTGACTAAATGTAAATTGATGAATGATATTCAAAATTGACTAAATGTAAATTCCATTTCATCAATTGACTAAACAATTGACTCTTAAACCTAGTTATCTAAACATCTAATTATTTAGATAATCATAAATTTCAAAGAATTGATTAAATAGTCCAATCTTAATCAAATATCTAATCATCACTTGACAAAATTATCAATGCTTATCCAAGTTTGTCATATAATTATATGAGTTAATCACCTATATACTGCTAATGTAAAGTTTTTTTACACTGACAATCAATTAGAACCGTTAATAGTGTCTTTTCATCGGCTCATTTAATTAAATTAAAATAAAAAAAGTACTATTAACAACTCTGATTGACTACTAGCGTAAATTTTTTTTACACTAACAGTATATAGATGATTAACTCAATTATAAAGCCATTAATAGTTAATTTATAAAAGTATAGCCAATGGAATCAAAAAGTTGCCAGCCGAAAGCTTTAAACGTATGGTTCAAGTTCAGAGTGCATGTACGAGCACCCTTTTTATGTGCAACATTTATGAAATCACGTCATTCCTTTACACAAATATCCATCAAATCAAAAGAAACTCATGAACTGAAGGCAACCTCAGATTGACTAATTACAACCCCCAAATACAAGCAATCCACCAGCCAGCCTTCAATGTAACAACGCCCGGGCTTTCATGCCACTGAGATTAATTGAGTTAGTCAAAACATATTTACTTATATTGCCATTCACCAGGCAAATTAGCTGAATAGCCAGGGCCTATTGTATTCTAACTAAAGAGGCAAGCATAAGTCAAATAAGAATCTTACCGAAAAATAGAGAACAAATAACGGTACAAAGCAAAAAGGGAGAACAACTTCCGACTCAAATGCACAAGAAAACAATTGAACGATTCCTGGGGAGCGAAAATTGTGAAAAGTAGAGACTACAGAACAAGACGACTCAAAAAGTAAAAAAAAAACGAATAGGAAACTAACTAACAATCACGCAAGCAATAAATCGCTATTCAGTAGACATTTTGCCATAAATGGATGTCCGCTTTCATTTGCTGCTGCAATGCAATTACAAGCTCTTTGAACCCCGATTATACAATTATACCCTTTTTCTTAAAAATGAAGACAACATTGTGGTTACTATATATGTCTTATAGTTGTAAGTGATCAAGTTTTGAAATCATAGCAACAATGCAACCCAACCCATTTAATTAATCAAGCAACAAAAACGAAATTGAACTGACAAAGCGACTGGTATGGTAGGTCATCTCGAACAGCAAGAAAAATAGCTTTGATTTTGCTTGGTTGTAGCGGCCCCATTGTTGACGAGGCTGACTCTGTTGACAGATAACTCTGCCTTGTATGTTTCGGAGTTGAGCACCTTCCTGCTCACGTTGTTGTAAATTTCTCGAATCACCATCTCAAACGCCGTCTTCACGTTTGTGGAGTCCAACGCAGACGTTTCCATGAAAAACAAACCTTCCGCTTCCGCAAGGCTTTTCCCTTCGTCAATGCTCACCGCCCTTATATCCTCCAAGTCACATTTGTTCCCCACTAGCATCATCGCCACAGTCGTATCGCAATGAGCTGCATCATATCACAAGCACCATATTAATTTCCTCACAAAACACAACAACTTAACTGCTCTATAATCAACAACTAATTAACACTTTCTCTTGCATAATCTCTTTCCTCTTTCTTTCAGTCCTTTATAATCACTACGAGATGTTTATGACCAAGTATACACACAAATCACAATCACACCAAGGCCGAAGCTAATAACAACTTGAAAAAAGAAATTGCGCAATCCGTATGCAAGAATTGTGAGTTTCTAAGACAGCTCCTAGCTAGGTTAATAACCTGTGAAGGTGATAACAGAAAACAACAAGTATAAATCAGCTAGCATACTGACACATATACGAAACTAATAGAAGAGTACAAGTACAGTATAAACTAAAGAAATTAAGAGGTGAAAGAAAGGAAATCGAAGAAACGTTGTGAAAGCGATAGCGACTAGATGAGAATCGGATCGGGACACGAAACCGGCGCATGGTGAAAGTGAGAGTGAGAAAACGTAGAAAAAGAGAGAATCGAAGACGAAAAGCAATGTTGAGGAGATCGGAAGCTTGCAAGGGAAGGCAAAAAGAGTAATTGAGTGTGAGAAAATAGAGTGAAATGGAAGAAGGATTTCAGATCTAGTAGTTACTTTTAAGCTCGTCGAGCCAGCGACCGACGCTGTCGAAGGTGGTGCGGCGGGAGATGTCGTAGACAATGAGAGCGCCGACAGCGCCGCGGTAGTAGGCGGAGGTGACGGCGCGGAAGCGTTCCTGGCCGGCGGTGTCCCAAATCTGAGCCTTGACTTCCTTGGAATCGATTTCCAAGCACTGAGTCTGGAACTCGACGCCTATGGTGGCCTTGGAGTGCATATTGAACTCGTTCCGAGCGTAGCGAGAGAGCAGGTTCGATTTCCCCACCGCGGAGTCTCCGATTATGACGATCTTGAAGAGGTACTCTTCTCCTCCCTCGTCCTCCGAACTCATTGCCGCAACTTCAATTCCAGTTCCTAACCGTGAGAGAAAGAGAGAGGGAAAAAAAGAAAAGTAAAGTTTTCGAGTGGAGGCGTGCTTCGCTGTGTGTGTGTGTGTGTGAATTGTGATGATAGATAGCAATACCACACAACACAACCTGGCAATGGCATACACAAACTGCGCTACTTAGCTGCATTCATTGCCAATTTTGCCCTACTTTTTCTTTTTTAAATAAAGTCAATTTATTATTTTTAATTTAAACTACATTAAATTATTTTATTTGCCTAAACCCAATTTTGATCCGGTGCTAATTGGTTACTTTAGATTAACGATCATATTACCTATTCAAATTAGTCACAACTTACTTGAATACATGTCTTCATATTTTGTATATAATGTTTCATATTTTATACTATTGACTCAGTTGCGATTTAAACGATTGTATATAATATTTATCTTACTTTAGTTTTTATCTATTAAAATTCAATTGATGTTTAAATTCATAAATGCTATAACATAATGAAATTTGTGTTATATGCAGCTAAAAAATAATATAAAATTATAATTATTGAATTCTCAATTGTGTTTTGAAATTATTTTTATACAATTTTCACAATATTTGTAATACTTATTTATTTGAACTTTAATTGTGTTTAATAATTTTTATATAAGTGAATTTAATGAAATAAATTTAAAGTCTTGAATTAGTAAAAAAAATAATCCAAAATCATGTTTCAAAATTAAAAATAATTATATTTTAAAAATATTAAATTGATCTAAATTTAAGAATAAAAGATTATAATAAACATTTTAAAATAAATCTATCAAATAAGATTAAAAATTAAAAGTATAACCTAACCTATTTTAAACCATTCCAATTTTGAAAACAAAAATACAATTATTCAATTTGTACTTTAAATTAATATGTTGTTTAAATTCTATTTTGAAAATAGATGTTGGCATTTTTTTTCCATCTTAATTATGTTAGAGAAGTAATCTTATTTTAATAATATAATGATACATTATAGGCTTAAATATGTTTTTAGTTTATCAAATTTATGATAAATTTATTTTTGGTCCTTCAAATTTAAAATTATTATTTTTAATCCTTATAATTTCAAAAAATCTTATTTTAGTCCTTATAATATTGATTGAATCGAGAAAGATTTTTAACAACTTCTTTACTAAAAATGTTTATTATTTTTAGTATATAAGTTCTAAAAAAATTATAAGTTTATATCTAAACATATTCTTGATATATTTGGATAAAAAAAATTATAAACACTTTTAGAATAAAAAATATAATAAACTTCACTATAAACTAAAAAGAACTTTTATACAAGTTAAAAATATATTAAAAAAGAGTTAACACAAAAAAAAATTACAAACTAATTTATGTATAAATTATTTTAATTTTTTAGAGAATTTTATTTTATTTTCTAAAAAAAATATGTAAACAAACCCTAAAAGTGAGGTTACATATATTGTGATTTTGATACTATCATTAAACGCAGTATGTCATAAAAACAGTTTGAGGCAACATATATTGTAAATTTGTAATTAAAAGTTTGCTATTTTAATTTATAAGTTTTGATCATATTGCCGTTGTAAATTTTATGGATAAAAAAACTAATAATATAGATATTAGGCACTCCTCGGATGAATAAGTTTGAAATTTGAATCTCGCGATTGATAGTCTAACTTCGTAATTACTTTGGATAGAGAAATATTTAATGGCGATAAATTATGGATGGAGACTTTACAAATTTTAGATTTAGGGTGATAGGTTTTTGTAAGGACTCTTTTAATAAAATTCTTACAAACATTATTAACAATATTTCACGTTAGTAAATAATTAAGTTTTTTTTTAAGTATGTAAATCATGGTTTGATTTCTAACTTACATGTTTAAACGAGGAAAAGTTGTACCTATTTTTGTGACGGTGTATTTCTGCGTTAGATCCACGTTGATAGGTTAAATAATGTCAATAAAAACCATAACACTTTTTAAACCAACGAAGTAGTAATGTGATTGTAAGAGTATAAGCGAAGAGACAACTAAGAAGGACATAGTATTTTTATACTAGTTCGTTTTAACTACTAATATTACGTTCAAATCTTGATCAACCCAATCAAGTTTCAATATCTTTTACAAAGATATAAATATTTTTTGACAAGTCATTTCAGATTCAACCTAAGTATTTATTGACTTGCTTCTTCAAATAACTATCAAAGTATTATGTTAACACAAATATTTCCTAAGACATAAACAACTAAGTATTCTTTTACAATCGAGTCTCTTTAGACTCAAAACAATAACACTAAAATACCCTGAATCCTAAGCCCTAAATCCCTGAACCCTTAAACCCTGAACCCTAAACCCCTGAACCCTGACCCCTGAACCCTGAACCATGAATCGAACCCTAAACCACAAGCCCCAAGCCCCGAGCCATAAACCCTAAATCATAAACCCCAAGTCCCAAGCTCCAAGCCTCAAGCCCTAAACCTGAAACCCTAAATCCTAAACCCAAAACCCAAAACCCCAAAATCCGAATTGGGTTGGATTTGACCCAAATACTAAAAAAATTCAATCCGAACTCATTGAATTGATTTAGGTCAGTTTAGATTAGCAGATTACTATACCCGCTTACACACCCCTATCACCGAATAGTAATATTAAACTATCTCTCTTAACGAGTGAAAATAATACTTCTATAAAAGATTAAATATATAATTCAAAAGACAAATAAGAATCTAAACAGTCATTCCTCATCCACCCCAGGGCTTCTTATCGGAACATAAATTCAATTAAGAAAACGACCCTGAGAATAAAACAGAGCGTTGAGAATAAAAACATGAATCTCACGAAACATACACTAGTTGTATAATAAAATAAAAATGCATAAATTATCTATTAATAAAAGGACAAGAAAAGAACCCGGAGAACACATAATCTCAAACGTCTATAAATTGGTTCTGAAAATGTTGAGCAACTAGTGGATTTACTAAGGAGGTTGTCCATTTCATTGGTGTCCACTAAATAACGCTTTACTAATTATGCATGTGGCTTCAATATATCGATCTACGCACCTAGAGATGCAACCGCTTTCACTCCCACTGAGGCTTGAACCTGGTTCAAAAGAAGATTATAATAAACATTTTAAAATAAATCTATCAAATAAGATTAAAAATTAAAAGTATAACTTAACCTATTTTAAACCATTCCAATTTTGAAAACAAAAATACAATTATTCAATTTGTACTTTAAATTAATATGTTGTTTAAATTCTATTTTGAATATAGATGTTGGCATTTTTTTTTGCATCTTAATTATGTTAGAGAAATAATCTTATTTTAATAATATAATTTTATTTTAGTATATTTTGAAATAAATATATTATGTCAATTTTATTTTATAAGAATGAAGTATCAATTCATCTTTGATTAATATAAAATTTTGTATATATGATCTAAGAGTAAATAACTTTCAATCTAACGGTTGGATTTACAAAATTCACATTTAATTTAAAATTATTAAGTGATGTAACACTTAATAAAAATTACACCGCAGTGTCGTTTGAATCCTCTTCTATATATATATACATATATATTATGGTGTATATATCTAAATACTTTGTGCATGTTAAGTCTTAGGTAATTAGTTGTTTTTGTTGCTAGTAGTTAATCTATTTAAATGTAATAACCATTACATGTCATTACAACCTTAATGTAAGAAAAAGATACAAATAATTTTCTCTTTACTTGTTATTTCTCCATATTAGTTTTATTCACAATTCATCTCCTTTCCTAATTTAGTTTTACTCATCCTAATTTAGTTTTACTCATAGTTACTTTTGAAAGATTTAAATTTTAAAAATGAGTAAATAATTTTTATATATTGTTTTTTCATCTAATCATAATTATTATATAACTACAAGAAATTGTAAGTTTTCAAGTCTTACAACAATTCTTGTGAATTTTCGTGTTATATAAAACTTGTGGTTAACCGGATGATTGACCGTTAATAAAATAACTCAAATAAAATAGAACCCGTAGTAATAATAATAATAATAATAAAAGCTAAATGACTATTTGGAACACAGCCAATGATCAAAAGAATATGATATGCCAAGTTTAAAATTTTTTTTATCACAATTACAATAACTACATAAAGGTTTGAACTTAAATTTCGGTGTTATTCTAACCTCTATCACTGAACCGATTATAGTAGTTCATAATAATAAACTGTCGTGAAGGAGAAAAAAGTTAAATTTGGAAGAAAAAATTGAATACAAATAAACGAAATTGGCAAAAAGTAAAAGAGTAAAAATTAAGGTTAATAATGAGTGCGAAGATGCACAAGAATACAAAAGATTACGCAAATAGGTCAACATAAATGGAACTAAATCCAACAAGGAAATGTAATCAAATTGCGAAAAATAAAGTTCAAAAGTTAAAATTAGAAAAACAGTAAGCACATGATATGGTAATAAACTGATGAAATTAATACTATAAGAAATGCCACATACCAGTACTGTACTACCACCAACAAAAGAAAAGCATTAAATCGTGTCACTAGAAATTAAATAGCATTAAATCTAAACAAATTACAAGAAAAATAAATTACTATACTTGAATGGAACTTAGTTTTTGTTCTTTAATGCAAGATTTCAGGTGTCTTTAAACTTTAAATATGTCAACCTCTTTATAACAAAAAAATAAAAATAAAAAACTACCAGTAATATTTACAAGCCTGAACAACACTACTAAATATTTATGGCTTTTTTTACTACCATCTGTGATCTGTCCCTGAATAATTGACGATAAGCATCAAATTTTAAATTTGAAGCATCATGTTTATAAAAACTACTAGAAAGTGGGTAATATCTTCGATGTTTATATTATTTATTATAATAACTATTAATCACTTCATATGCTCTTTTTTTTATTTATTAGAATGGGATAATTTATTTTCAAATTTCTAAACTAGTGGATTTTTTAAAAAAAGAATTACTTACATGCATGATATAATTCATAATGTTTGACAGCTAAAGATTGTTACGATTTTTTAACGATAAAATAGAAATTTTTCAGTGTTATATGTGTAAAATAAGCTTGGTTCAAAGAGTCAACATGTTTAAGTTACCTTTTTAAGTGAATAGCTAATGACGTT